TTTGTCACGAAAAAATTTGTCGCGGGTCACACGCTTACAACTTGCGAGGGCAGCTGCGTTGCTCTATAGCCAAAGGGGGTCACCGCGCGCGGACAGTAGCACTGGGTTTTGCTATATTTCCTGAGAGGTCGAAGCATTACGTTTTGTCGACACTTCCCAGCAGAAGTTATCTGCAGTGGGCCAGCAGATTTATCTTTCTGGGTCTAATACTGCAGTGAATTTTGTGCTAGCAATTGCGAACAAGTCCATTGTCTAATTATAAAAAATAAAAAAATAAAATAAGTTAACAAAAATTCACGGAATCACGGTTTCACGGATTCACGGATCACGGATCACGGAATCACGGCAATTTTTTCAAAAAAATTCACGGATATGCAATCACGGATTCACGGACTCACGGATCACGGAATCACGGATCACGGGAGATGCGAGCGCTTTGCGAAAGAAAGAATTGACAAAAATGGGACTGTTCGCAGGACTGTTATTTTTTTATTTTATTTTACTTTATTTTATTTTAATTTATTTTATTTTATTTTATTCCTTCTGAAATGATTAAATATTTTCACTGCACACGATTATTATAGATAAATTAACAAAACAGTTAGAACTCACACACTCGCTTTCATTCGTTGTTGAGTGACTCCATCCAGACGGTTGGAAGATTGTGGCAGAGGGGAGGAGGGGATCGAATATTATTTACCATATGGTTAATTGGTTGATAAAAAAATTTAATTTTAGGATTTGAGAAAAAAAATCTTCCCGGGACTTCCATGTCAGGATAAAGGTCTGCAGGTCCTTTACCTGATGTGTAGCGGGGTTACATGAGCCTTACTATAATGTTTATTATACAAGTTATATACAAAAGGGGAAGGGGAAAGGGGAAAGAGGGAACCGGCTCCTGCCGACGGGCGGAGGTCACTGTCCGAGGTTCGTTGTCTTAGGCCAACCTCCATCGCTAGCAGCTGTTGGGTCATAGCTGCATCCCGACAAAAGTGACGATAAGTCATACAGCCATGGACAAAAATATCTGATTTCGTCTTTGATTGTGTAACCTTTGATCTTGCATGAATAAACCCCAAGTTTTTCTTGGCTGCTAAGACGAAAATGTCTATATATTTCCAGAAAGAGCAGTTGATTAGAGTAGGAAATAAATCTCGAAAGGATTAGAGATATTTTGCATTTTTCGGAGAGATGGGAATCAGGCGTGCGTAAAACTACTGGAAATTTGCTCAGTATAGAAATTAAAAAACAATAGAAAAAAAAAGAAAATAGAAATTACCCGTAGAAATTAGTGGAGCTAAATTCACGAAGTATCTGGCAACGGGTGATCGTAAATGCAAAATCGCATATCTACGATTGTAATACAAAAAATTACCAGTGAAGCTTCAAAACTTTATTATTCTAAAGCATGGTGCTCAGAGCACTTTAGAAGAATACTTGAATGCTCTAATTATTTAGGAAATTGTAATGGTAAAACTTCATTGGCAACTGACTCTGCTCTAAGAGTATTGAAGTATCACTTAAGTTTTGCTATACTTTCCTCGTTTCCTCTGGAAAACTCTAGAAAATCCGGAAAGTCTCATATTTAACATATTTGAAAAAAGGCATATTATGTTGCCAAACATAATTCGAAAATTTTTTGATAAATTCAGATATTAGATTTTTCATGTGTAGCACGTATGAATCGAATCCCTATCCTCAACTGATTTTGAAAAAAGAAAAAAATTTTTAGAGGAGCAATGAGGATTTTTTCTAAGTGTCTAACAAAACTCTCTGACAATCTGCCATTCAAGAAAACGCAAAAATTGTGATAGGTGTTCAGCAGTCGCAACTACCCATCGGATAAAATTATGAACGAAGCGATAGCTTTTTGAAAATGGCTTTAGGGGCTTCGAAATAGCCAACGTTCGCGTGCTAGCTGCTCGGCAGTTTGGCGGAGATGAGTTATGACCATGCCATAATGACGGCATTTTCCAAAAGTACGACGTCAACACCAAAAAGGCTTTTTTTAGAACAAAATGCGCAGTCATTGATGGCTAAGCGGCCATGATAGAGGTCATAAGATTTTGGAAAAACTGGCAATGAAAGTGGTTCGAGAACAAGTCATAAAATGGAAAGAAGAGAAAACAATCAATATTCGGACAAATTCTGTCTTATTGAAAATTTTTTAGAAAAGCGGATGACATATACGCTCCAAAGCCAAAAAATGCTTGTTTTCTCAAAAATTATGCATTTAAAAGCGAAATTTGAACTTGACTAAGCCAATAAATCTCGTCGAGTGCTTATTGGAAGTCTCTAGAGGAAAGCATTCCACCGAAGGTTCCGCTTCATAGGAGCATTTGTGTTCCTCATAAAGGTTCTCTGAAGCGTGCAAAACAAACTGAGATTCCTACTAATCTATCAAAACGATATTGAATACCAAAAATTAGCTGCGGAACCGTATCTTCGCGGGAGAATGTTACCAAAAGATTTACAGGAAGAAAGAAATGAAGAAATAGTGAACTGACTAAAGCGGAAGATGGAATGCAAGATTTGCACATGAAGAATGATAATTTTAGAGATTGTAAAGCATTGTACGAAATTTTCTTTGTGTCTTTGAGTAAGAGTGTTCTGAAATGTGTGTAGAACATAGAAGTTGAAGGAGAAAAATTCTACAAAATTTGATATCGCTATGTAAGTATTGGGGATCTGAGAGCAAGAAAGGCTCAAACTTCTAACTTGGTATATATCACTAGTTTCGAATAAAGACTAATTTATCCTCGAGAAACGGACTTCCATAGAATAAATGAAATAAAGATGAGATGCAAGGCCAGCGGGTGAAGCTTTTGTGGGTCATATACTTATCATATCCAATTCAGTAATGTCATGGAAACTCTATCCTATGTATGTAAGCAAGATTTTCACTTGCAAAGGATCTCGAGTTTCTATGGGAAAAACTATCTGCACATTGCAAGGGTTATTGAACTTCCTGACTGGGAAGCTGTATAAAAATAAACGAAAGCAAAGGTCATTATTTGGCAAGCCGTTTAAGATGTGATTTGACGAAATACATTATACTCCTCCATTTCAAATTTCTTCCATAGTAATAGGTTGGCACATAAGTTTTGCAACTTTTCCCGTAACTTTTTTCCTATTTTATGTAACAATCTCATTTTGTGGCATCATGTAGATCGTGATGTAAGCTGCAAGTCTGCGCAAACCGTTTGATTTTTGATAACGTAGTACAAAAAATCTAAGCATTTTTTGAAAACTGCTGAAAATCGAGGTTTCACGATTTTTTTTGGCAAATGAAGTCCTACGAAACCTGATTCAAACATATGAAAAAGCAATTATAGGCAGCATGTAGCTGGAAGTTGGCACATCGGAATCAGTGAAAAAGAAATGAAATTTAAACACAAATTAAGGTGGGACGCCTTTGAGAAGTTGAACAAGTCAAATGCGTCAAGTTTTGAAGGCAATTTGTCGATAACTAAGCTGCGAAAAGTCAGAATTCGCTAAAACTTTGCACTACGGGGTAATCCTATGCGGTAAGCACGAATATTCTATTCACTTGTCGCTAAAATGAAATTCATCTTTTGATCTCACGAACGAGGCCTTTTCATGCGTAACGGATCTCATTTTTGTGATCAGCATGTCAAATAAGCCCTATAGGCCAAGTTTCAGCAAAATCTGATGCATTCTAAAAATTTTCCTATAGTACCGTAAACCTACCGTAATCCTCACATAAGATGGTAAAATTCGGCAAAAATGTGTGCATTAGAAGCTTACATCATATTCCCTATATTGCCAAAAAATGAATGCGCTATGTTCAAATAGACAAAAGTTATATAAAAAGTTGCATTACTTATGTGCCAACCTAATATTTATACAGCGAATCTATCCACCAAAACCCAATTTTATGAGGTCAAGCAGAACAAGAAAAATTAATGGTTCATTGCACAGAAATATTTGAACAAGAGCCATTTTAATAGCGTTAGTATGTTGTCATGACAACTCAAAGTTTTTTTTTGGTGAGAAGCATGTTGAAACCAATTGCAATTTGCAAAATGCAGTGTCTCAATCTAACTCAAAGCTGAGTTTGAAGGGAGTATTTATGCAAATCTTGGAAATTGGATATTTCATGTGGTTACAGATTTAAGAAGTCATAAATAAGACGTGCCCAAGCGGCAGCTCAAATTATTCGTTCGTGCTAAAGATATTGAATTCCAGAACCAAACTCATCTAATCTTTCTAAGCGAACAATCACCGCAGTTAAGTAAGAAACTACGATTTGGGTCAAGGTTGAGAGTTGATTTTCCAGCCAAATGGCTGAATTAAGCTGATATTTGGTAAGAAAACTTGGTAAGGAGTTCCACTTGCTAAACTACTTCATCAAGAACTGTCTTGGGTACGAGCTTCGAGTCTGGACTATTGGTTTTATGGTTTTCTCATTTCATGCTATAATTCTATAATAATCCCAAATAGTTTGCTCTATGCCATAGTTCCACAATTTGAATAATTATCAATTATAATTATAAAACTAGCGATCTTCACTAATCTAATATCTAATCTAATATATAATCATGAGGTGCATTCAAAAATTGTCAGATAGCGGGAAACCGAGCGGGTCCCGAAACGAGCGGCCTGCAACTAGCACCTTTGAGATTACTGGTTCACTAGTCATAATGGAAAATCATACAGAATGGATGCTTTGAGTGTTTCTGCGGAAATTTGACAAACTAAAAAGAATGATTGGAAACAAACAGCCGAAAGTTTTGGACCAAAGGAGGGACGACATTTACGAATAACCCAATTAGACATGAAAATGTCATTCAGACTGATTAGAAAACCCTTTGGGCATACCTACTTCCAAAACAAGCACAAAAAGCGAAAGATGGAATAAGATGGGAGTGCTTACTTGTGCAAGAAGAATCTAAAATTGCTCACACATGTTCAATGTTCGCGAATAAATTAAATCTGGAATGTTGCCAAAAAGCTATAAAATGCTGTAAAATTCGCACCGATCATCGGCTCTTGTCCGGGACGATGTGTAGCACGACCAGTGATGACACGAGTGGTGGTTTTCTCATTGCTGTTCGATTTTCTCAACTCGATGGACATCTGTAAATATAAATTCAATTATCTCAAATTACCAATGCAACGATACATAAAATAAGCAATTTAGTTGATGTCCATAAAAACAAATACCTCTAAAAGGGTAAGATTTGCTTCAAACAGCTCACAATAAGATATGTGAAAGGAGGGGCAGATGCAAGAAATGACAGGCTTTATGGAATGAATACAATGAAAATTGAAAAGACATTCAGCATCTAGAGCTTCTTAGGAATTCATAGCTTGCTGCAATGAACCGAAAGCAAACTGCCAATCTGAGTTCTAAGCTTCAGCTATACGCTGTCCAGCAAAAAGAGAAAAAATGAAGTGAAAGAAAGCTCGAAAGGTAAGAAATTTAGAAACTTAGGCGATCGAAGCCATGCAAGCCAGTTAAAAATTCGAAAATTTTCTCTCCCTCAAATTATATTATAGAACAAATAAGTTTGGAAAGTTTTTCAGCATTCCATCACTAATGCAGCTCTCCAGAATCGCTTTGGAGCTGAAGGCGTTTATAGTCCCGCGCGCACGCGCGAACAACTCTAGATGTTGTCAAAAATTTTGTCCGTCTCACTTTTCCAAACACAACGCAAAACGCAAATTTAGCCTAGAGGATGGTGGCTACGCTCGCTATCAACTCAAATTGTTCCGATTTGAGATGACCGTTTGGAGGTGGAAAGCATAGCAAAGACGGAAAGGATTTTGCACGGTGAAAGAACAATTGACGAGAAAATATTTCAAGATGACGCAACGCATAGGTATACCTCCCTTAATGAGTACAATTTGTCATAATGATTGCAGCCTTGACTGCATAAGTGATGTGAATTGCGCTTTTGTTACTTTGCATTCTGGCAACGTTTCTAGAGTTTCTAGAATCGCGAATATTGATTAGTTTTTGATTGAGGCAAAATACAGAGAAAACAATTAAACAAATGGCTTCCCTTATTGTCGCATATCAATATCTTTCAATATTTTGGCAAGTATTATGGATAGATTGTATTTCCTATGTTATAAATTTGAGGTGAAAAAGTAAGTTCTGAGTCAAGAATATGGGTTCTGCTTAATTTAGACGTGGCCGAAACGGAGTTAGACATCTGTCAAGAATATGCCATCATCAATTCGCCCACCCAAGAAAAAAAATAATTGCGAGTCGTTTTTGTCTTAAACAGATTCTAGAATAGTTAAGTCAGGGAAAAGCAGCTCATCCTTTTGGTGGAGTTGGGTGGCCATACTTATATTTACATTAAGTTACAAGAATAATATTAATCTTGCCTTTCGAAAGGGTTTAAATGGATGGTCGACGAACAAGAGGGAAATTGCAAAAACTCAAAGCAATTTCATGTCTTGTGCCAACCTTTGGAAGGTGATAAATAGCTCGAGGTCTGCAGTATATTCGATAACAAACGAAACGGAAAATACTGCGTAAAAACCACAGACCCATGTTAAATAAATAGATATATTTTTAGCGCGTAGTTTTGAATCAATTTTCCAAATTCTAGTGAAGCTTTGGAGGAAGATTCTCAGTGAGTTGCTCGGAAGCTCAAAGTCAGAATTGTGCTGTGTGTCGTCTGGGACGTACGGCTATAGGCCTCATCTATGGCCAATTTTGGAACGGATGCCGGATAAAAACGTTGATAGACAGGCCACGGAGATGCATGGCACGAGTATTGCCCCGACGATGTGTGCCTAGATACGAATCCCCATAGATTAGAGGGTAAAGCAATGAGAGTTGGCAGGTAAAGCGCCCAGGAATCTCTGAGCAGAGAGGCTGAACCGAAGGTGATGATCGGTGAGCAAGGGGTAAAAAGCATGAGGTTTTCGGGCGGAAACAGCCCCGTCCCTTCGACACAATGTCCCGCCAATGACTTTAGATGTGGTGAATGCAATTACGAATGTCGTGTGTGGGCCGTGGTCTCCATTGATGAAGGTGTAGAATGGGTTAGGAACAAAGATTAAGGGAGAATCTAGGCCATAGAGCATTCCGACAAGAAACAGTGACTAGCAAAATCAAAGTTCGAAAATTTGGCTTTACTGGTTACAAATGTTTTATAGAAGGCTAAAGAAAGGTTAAAATCCAGAATTAGGTCCAGGAAAATTGCCTAAAAGCCTCTATAAACCGCCTTACTCCTTCCATATTTGGTTGTTTAGAACGGCCAGAAATTTTGATTCTAAACAATTTCTCTTTTTACAACCGGTCGCAACTTTAAAATGAGAAAAGCCCCTTCTTCGGCTTTTTTTTCCTGCTTCAATTTTTTTTTGTTTTGATTAGATATCCTCGATAAGGTAGGTTGTACAGCCATGCGAATGACACCTCTTTGAAAAATTAGAGTTGTCAAGTTAGCTTGGTAAAAAAGATTCCGGGGAAGAGAATGAGACTTTTTTTTCAGGATTCCATGATCATAAGTCCGCAAAAAATTTACCATTTCGAAAAATTATTCGTAGGACCTTTCATTTAAAAGAATTTTGTCCCTACCCCATCAACCATCTGCAAGGTAGCTATTACAATTGCGTAATATGCAGAATAGAGGTTTTCGTTATGCCCAAGCGCTTTCAATTAGAACTTAGCTTAAGCCAATTTCTTTTTAAAGAATTTTGAGACGTATGTTAGTGCCGTAGTTATTGCTTATTCAGTAGATATTTTTTCGAAACGATTCTGGCACGAAACACCACAGTAAATGTCTAAAAATAATTGCGATTTTGAGAGGAACAGTAAGAGTGAAAGAAGAAATCTTTGACAAAAACCTCATTTCTTACTAAATGATAATAATTTTGAACTCTGCTGCTGAAGTAAACTGCTAGAAATTCTTGTCACCCATTCTATATTCACTGCTTCCAAGCAGTATTTTGTCATTCAAAGAAAAAACATACATGCGTCAAAGCTGGCTAATTACGGGGAAAACGATTCTCCAGGGACTTGAGAAGTTCCTGAACTTCACAAAAAGAAGCCTGATTTTCCAAGTTAAAGTGGAGTGTCTTGGAAAGCTAGGGATACGTCTGACGAAATGGCATAACGAATAGATGAAATGGATACGAAAAACAAATTTTACGAGCTATGGGAATCTGGAAGCGTAAAATTGAAGAAAAATCCACAAATCACTGGATGAAAGTAGTATGTAATGGCCAGCATATTGACGAACATAATTTTCTCTGAAATGCTGGCATCAAAGGGAGAACGAGAATCCAAAGAGGCTAAGTAGATCTACTAATGTCTTGCTGCAAAAAGAAAAAAAATGTGCATCTATGATTTTTTGCAGTCAAAAAAAAAAACAGCTTAGACGGTGGAGATGCAGGTCAGATATGCCGAAAAAGGCACTGGCCAGAAATAGCATGAAAAATTTTTGACGGTTTGATAAATGTGTTTAGTTTTAAGCGGCAATTCTCTGAATCAGTGACAGTCGAAATACAGGGTGTCCCAAAAAAATGTGCCTACTGTTTGATTGTTAACAATGCTCTTGTACTGAAGTCTTTCATAAAGCTTTGAGTACCATTTTGTAGAGCTGGCTTCAGCTTAGATTCACAGTATAAAGCGAACTACCAATCGCTCTTCATTACTGTAGGATTACGGTAGAAACTTCAAGTATATGGTGTCATTGTGAAAAAAGCTGCCGTTTCAAAATTTTTGAAAAAATGTGGAAATATGTGTAATAGGGTTTTTATGCACCCTGAGTTCAATACCTAACTCTTTACAAGATTGAGAAGCTTTCTAAACGGTGTAACCGCACTTTTTAGCAACATTGAAAAAACGAACGCTACTGCTTACCTCGCATAACTTTCTAATGAAGCATCAAGATAAGTTGCGAACTTCACATTTAGAATCAGCAACTCTAAAGGCTGTTTTTTTTCCTTTCTGGGACAAAATATGGCCTTTCATGGCTCAAAATCTTCTTACCGTAATCCTACAGTAATTAAGAGAGATGGGCGATCCATTCTATACTGTGACTCTCAGTTCAAGCTAGCTCTACGCTCTAAAACGTTACCCAAAGCTTCTCGGTAGACTTCTTTACAAGAGAGTTATTAACGATCAAACTAGGCACATTTTTTTGGGATACCCTGTGTATCACAATAATTGAGACGACTCAAGCCAGTTTGTATTTATGATTTTTATTCGTCCTCCTCCCAATCCATCTCTCTATCGGTGCTTTCTCAATTTCTTGGAGCTTTCAACAAAAGCAATTATATACAGAACTTGAGGACTGTAAGTTCAGGCCGATTCTGCATCATGTGATAACTCGACGTTTTATAACACTTCTCGTTTGTAGCCTACTCTCCGTTTCCCCATTTCCTCCTTGACGTGTCCAACTGTTGAAGACATTATCCACTTAATTCTTCGTCTTTCATGTTTTTTGTTGTCATTATGGGCCTTTCCGTGGCCCTTATACATATAAAGCGCAAAATGTGCAAAACCCCAAAGACCCAATGGTAGCATTCTTCCTGTACCTGAACATACTGAACTCCATCCTGAATGCACAGGTGACCTACAGTATCTAGGAGTTCGAGCTTGATAGAGCGGGTGTGAGTTGATAGTACTTTCGCGGCTTCAGGATCTCTTTTTTTCCATTTTGAGGCTAGAGGATCTGACCAATGCACTACTACTCCTGGGACATTCTTTTAGACTAGTAATCGGGGCAGCATGATCTTGATACATAAATAGCTGGTCTACCGTTTTTGTAAAATTAGCTACTAAGCTCAATAATCTCATTTTTTAAGAAAAAAGCAGTATCTTAAACGGTTATATTTATTAACTATATCTGAATTTCCGTTAGGGGAGATAGAATATGGCCAGAAAAGTAATGAGATAGGATGAAAATACGATAATATTGGGAGACAGAATAAGGCAGCTAGGACCGTTCCAATAAACCGAATCACTCTCCTGGAAAGTGAAGGCGGAAGAAATCACGAAAAGGCGAGTAAGAAAGACGATAAATTTTTCTGTGCAGCTTTTCACTATGTGGTTAAGTTCGCATCGCTTGCAAATTGGAGAACATCCCAACATGAAGGGCAACCACATAAAA